TATTTTTTATGCTTGAAAACAAATATGCTGTTTTTTGAAAAGTTCATTACTCATGCATTGTTGATTAAAAAGGTGAGTTACGTTACCTTGAGTTTATATTGAAAATAAATGTTTAGATTTAGTAAGTGGGTCATTCCAATACTAAAACACAGCTTTAGAGTCCGACACTTTCTCTCTTATTATATTTCTTACAATTTCGAACCAAAACAAAATAATAAATTAAAAAGAAAACAAAAGAACAAACATTAAATAATAAATTTCAGATTTTTTTTCCTCTGATATGATTCTGAAACTTTGAATTACTTTGCTTTTTTCTGTTCTAATCGGGTTATAAAAAACTGTATCATGAAAAATGCTTTATGTCAGCAACTTATATAGCTTTTTTCATTATATTTCTTGTATGTAATATGATTTTTTAGTCATAATTCAGGGTTCTTAGTATCTTCCAGTGTTCATAAATATCATTCCTCGCTTTTACTTTTTCCTTCCTTTAAAATTCGATATTAATATTTTCATCTCTTTTAAATAAAGTTTATATGTCGCTGAAACTTGTCTCCTGTGTTACCTCTACTTTATTTTTAAATTCAAACTAGAATTACTTATAAAAAGTTGGCAACGGTAGCCACACATGCACTCCTATGTTCTTCGTGTTATTTTTAGCTATATAGTTTCGTCAAGCTATAAACATAACCCCAGTGCCATATGGGCTCATTTAACGCCCATTTTGAAAGTGGTTAAGAAAACTGATCCTAAGATTGACTCTCTTCATTTTTTTTTTGTCTTCCACTCAATATAGACAGAAATTTACCAGATTTATTTATTTAGACAAAGGCTTTTTAATTGGTTTCATGCGAGGCACATGGTGCGGGCATGGAAAAGAGGCAGCTGATGGAATCGGTGGAATTTTAAAGCGAATAGCAAATAGAATTGTGGCATGTGATACAGACATAACAGATGTACACCAGTTTATACATTGTGTGCGTGAATCCACTGAAATAAAGTTAATCTACATAACTGAAGAAGAAATTGAAGCGATTTCTGAAACACTTCTTGAAAAGATTCCTATGCTGAAAGGGACAAGATCCTTATACCAGATTAATTGTAGAAAAAGAGAAGTATCAACGCTGCATGTTGATTCAACAATGTCTGACTGTCAAATAGTTTTAATTTGGAAATTTACTCCTTTCCAAAATTCAATACAATTTAGTGATAGGAATTTCACAGATTTTAAAGATGTTCTTACTAGTGACATTATTATTATTATTTTATTTTATTTTTCCAATTTTGCAATCTGTATTTAAAAAAGAACAGGAAGAAAAATAGTTAAATACTGCGGAAGAATTTTATGAATTTAGACAAATTTTACAAATTTGACTTCTTGTTTATGAAATCAGAGTAGTATGATCATGATTCATTAAATAATATTAATAAATAAGATTAATAAATCAATAATTCAATAAATTAATCAATAAATTAATAATTAAATAAATAAGATTCATTAAAATTGAAATTAAGATGTGAACCTTTTTTATCTGCTTCGTTTCTGTTATCAATACATATCATGAAATATAATGCTGTTCTATGCGTATTTTTTTTCAGAGCAATTCGAGCAAAGAAGTTAATTTTGCAGATACAAGACACAACATGTAAATAAGATGCTAATTGGGTTGAATCTGGACCCCCAATTTTAATATTTTTGATTATTATTTATTTATTTTTTTTTGAATTGACACTTTATAAGGAAATATACATCCAACAAATTTCATTCATTTTTAAATGTCAATTTAAAGTTTTTTTTCCTACCTTTGATTAGTGCAACCATCTAATGTAATGATAACTTCAGAAATATAAAAAAATACCAATGAAGGTCTTTGCTTACATAGTTATTAGCAATATTCAAGGATGGAAGCCAGCACTGGGAAGCTATTTTCCTGCATAAGTTCATTTTATTGATCTTTTTTCCTAGTCTGTTTATGTTAAAGTTGTTTTTACTGCCACCTGAACAAACCAAACACGCCTGCCATTGGCCTCTTTCGAATTAAGTCAGGAAGTTGCGCCTTTCCTTTGACAATAAGATAGCACCGTAAGGGTGAAAGTACGCCTTATCTCAAAAACTCACGGATAGATAGCAGAACTACTCATTCGCGGGCCACTTTCTTCATTTAGACATAGATCTGAAAGGGGAAAGATATTTTCTCCAGATCCCTGAATCCATGGTTATTGCTCAGCGATCAACCACAGGGCATTCTACTCCACTGATTTTGCGAGCAAGTATATCGAAGGTACTCGAGAATCTATTTATAAGCTGATAATAGAATTTATAAATTCGGTTATTTATAAGCACAGAAGCTCATATTTATGACTCATTTTTTATAGTAGGTAAATTTAGAAAATCCCTCCCATCCTCTAACTAAATTAAATGTCAAATTAATTTCAGAAAATAAGCTCATTGAAATTCTTTTTATTAATCAATTTCAATCCTAAGTTTTTTTAAAAAAAGATGCTCTATTAAGACTTAAAGGATCATGTTAAGACTTTTGCGATATTTCTGCACATGAAAAGCTCATCACGTACAAACTGGGAGTCCTGGAGATTCACAACTTTTCTATCAAACAAAGCCTTTCTTATTAAAACAGTTTACGACTTTTGGGAAAACAGGGTGCATAGCCAGATTTTTCATCAAAAAATAAGCACTTTTTAAGTACTTTTTAAGCACTCAAAAAATATTTTTAAGCATTATNAAAAAAAAAAAAAAAAAAATCATGATCAGGATTTGTGCAGTTACAAAAATTATTTTTTCTATCCTTTAAAAGTTCTTCATTTATAAACATAAAATCAGTAAAATTCAAAAAAATTTTCAAAAACTTCACATAATCATGATAAAATAACTAGTTTCTGATAAATATTGCAGAGAAAATTATAAAAATCATGAATTTGTTTTTAATTTAGAACAACAATCGCTCCGGTAAAGAAGAAATCTCTTCTTAAAAGATAAAAAATTAAGCACTTTTTACAAACACCAAATAATAAAAAAACAGCTTTAAGGGCTTTTAAAAAACGTGAATCGAAAATAAGCACCTTTAAGCATTTTTTAAAGACCCTACGCACCCTGGGAAATAATTTGCTTAACCCCCTCTTTTTTTTTAATACTCAGCCCTCTAATATTTTTTTCTTCAATTATGACACTCAATAATCTATTACTGATATAAACACAAAATTTTCTAAAAATACGAACAGTTATTTCTTCCCTTATTTAAAATAAGGAGGGCGAAGGAATTGTGAATAAGATAATTTATAATGATTTTTTAATGTAAGTAAAGAGTATGAAACGTGTTAAAACGTTTCCACATTCTGGTAGGATGGTAAAGAAAAAGTATCAGCCTGCCTATATAGTAGGCTACCGAAAAATAATGAACTGACTTCATATTTTTTACTTATTTTTTATTTTGTATAATTTTATTTTATTGTTAAAACGTCTTTTTTCTAGTAGAAAATTTCATTTTTTTTAAACAAAAAGTGATAATTACATAAATTTTTCTGGACCCGGAAATTTGTCTATGATTATTCTATGGTTTAATTCTTAATGTACCTAATAATGATTTTTGTAAGCCATTATTGATATTGTTTTTTGGTTGCGGTTTGAATCAAATTGCACTTTTGCTATTTTCCTGGGTAGGTCCGACAAAAATGAAATTGTTATCTCCTTAACAATCAACTTAAAAAAATAGTTTTAATTGATTTTCTCTTCTTTTATTGTTTCCTTTTTTACTTATTTATTCAGTTCTCTGCCAGTCTATTCTTTTTATTACAAAAAACGTCAAAACTTCTATCAGTGATAAAATTACGATTAAAATTCTGATTGCACCCACCTGGAAGCGATTGGCCCTTGTATTTTTATCCAATTCAGACCTTCACTTCAGATGCATTGACAATAAATTCGTTTTAGCAATAGTATGATAATAAAAAAATTTGTAGCGGCCGTGAGACAATTGAAACAATCCACATAAACTATCCTAGAGCTCCAGTTAAAATGTGAGACTGATGGTAAAGCAAAAGAAATTTTGGTTGAAAGATTCCAATGACAAGAAAACCAGATAATAGAGAAGTAATATGATTATACCCACGTGCTATTTGAATAATATTTAAATTCATAATATCTAATGCACAGTATGCAAAGAGAATATCATAATAACTCTTTGTCTAATGACAGAAATTCACAAAATAGAACTCTAATAATGCTATGGCCCCTTTTGCTATGCCACTATATGCAGTTCGATAAAGATAGGATTATCACTTGCGTTTGAAGGACTAACCATGCATTTAAACACTGATGTTTCGCCTTATCTATCCTCAACAGATATTAAAACTTCGAATAAATATAATAATATCAACGAATAAATTAATATCAAATCGGATATGACAAAATATTTCGGACAATCATCAATGGGACTATGTGATTGACATTCACCGGCGAAAGTCGATATTCTCTTGATATTTAACCTCACGGTAACATATCTACAAAATGTGGAACCAACATTTAGAGGGCAAACATTTTCGATTGCTCTCCTGCCTAAACTATCGGAAACTTATTTTCCTGACTCTCTGTCCTCTATTTTGAGAGCGAAAAAATCCATCAAAATGATAATAACAATAATAAAAAGAAGAATTAAAGTACGTTTTTTCAACAAAAAAAGGGTGTTTTCGTATCAGATTCCGTATTTGAAATACAGTCAGCACAAATTAAACTGCATATTTAAGGTTAGGCCCTGAAACCATTGGGTGTACCTAGTACGTAAAAATCCGATCTTTAATTCAAGAGTTATTGAGGTGCTCCTTTTTTTATCGATATTACAAATATAACAAATTTTAAAGATAAATCTATTGCTGTTAAATTTCAAATATTAGATTAAATTAAAAAAAAAAACGATTATATTCGATCTTCCTTAGGGCACAAATAGCTATCATAAATTATTATTACTTTTCAAATATAAACTACTCACCTTGTAATGTGATATTGACACTGTTTAATCCTATTTTTACAGAGACATCGGCTAAAATCTTATCTCTTGAATAGGCTTTGTATGGACTGGAGATGGACGCCCTTGCTACATGCCATTCAGTTCCATAGTTGGATACTAAAATGAAAAATAAATAAATAAATAAATACTAAAATCAATTTAAAGGTTGAAAAAAATGTATAATCAGTATTATTCATTGAAAACATAAAAAACATTTATTGAAAAGTGTGGTGTGTCTACCACTACAATAATTCAATTCTAATTTACTAGTATATAACACATGTTAACTCGCTTTTATGTATGGGGTACCTTCTCGTAGTTGAAGGTTGATATTGTCGATAACACTCGCCCTGCATTGGTGACCCGGAAGTGATATCAATACTCCTACCTAGACAGATACGCTCACTTTGATATCAACACGCCCACATAGATGGTCCACATTGAATACTTAACTTGCTATTTGAGACTGTGATATTGTATGACGGCCTGTATGCACTCGACTGCTAATGGTAACACAGAAACGACCACGATCGTGAATTTAATACGACTCTCACGTTTAGCACTCAAAAATCAGTGATCTTAATACAATTCTCCCGACAATAACAATGTAATATCCGATCATCGAATTCTGTCACAGATAAAATTTTGGTGGGGTAGTACTGTGGTGTGCCTACCACTACAATTTACCAAATCTACGTGTATATAAACCATGTTAACTCGGTTTTATGTAGTATTTTTTTCTTCTTTATATTACTTGCTTAAGATTAAATGTCACAGTTGCCCCGTGTACTCTATACTGATGTTTTTTTTAAGGTTAAGTGTCATTAACCGGAATGAGTCTTTCTAAAAGCGATAACAAATAAACCATTTAACCATCGAAACATTTCACAAATTAAAAAAGTAGCTCCAAGCTCTCACGTTTTCCTTAACAACTTTTCTTTCGCGCAATGTTGTACTTTGTCTGATCTAAATTATTCAAAACTTATAATTTTATTGCTCTCAAACAGGAATAGCAGACGCTTCAAAAAAATTTCAAATGAGAGAAAAACAGTAGAATAGACTAAATCTGTTTCTTTTTAACATTTGCATAGTTGTGTTTTTTAAGATTCCTTGTTATACACAGATTTGTTCATTAAATTCCGTTCATTTATTGTTCATTAAAACTTTAAAAATGCTAAAAAGTATTTTTTACTTCGACCCTACTGTTTGGAATTCTAAAAATAAAATTAAAAAATATTAAAAAAACATTTAAAAAAAGCGAAAATTTCGTTAATGAAATGCATAATTATCAAAGTTTTATGTAAGCACTTTAGTTAATATGTTAATCATAACGAAATGCACGAATAACTAGATATGTAAGGTGAGACTAAAATAAGATTTGAAAAAGACTGAGATTTAAGAGATTTAATACAATATTGCATTGTGCTTAGATAAAAATTCGTATTTTTTAGATTTTTTTTCTAAATAATCATTAAATTTATTCATTTTTGTGTTTAAATTGACTATAATATAACAATATACTTGTTAATTCCTATTTTAAGTGCAATCTAACATTTGAAATATTCTATTCTTTTACTTAATTAGAGGTGTATTTTTGTGAAAACGAAAATGCTCTCTGACGGCACGAAGTGCTTTTTATTACGAAAATGGAAAACTTTACGTTAAAGAAATGGGGGGGGGGAGTTTTGCAAAAGAGAACTGAATCATCCTCTTTAATGTATGCATTCACTTTTAAACTTTTCTGCTTTTAATCACAATTTTGTATAAGAACTCATATGCTTATAATATGTTTGCTCTTTAAATAATAAGCATATATTTTGCACTATAAGCTCCTTTTGCAGACAATAATTTTAGGTTTTAACTGCATTACAAATAATTTATTTTACCAGAATGCGTTTTTAAAAATTAACAAAAGATTTTCTTTCGAAATTTTGTTTTATATTGTTTGTATATTCCAATTTAAGAGATAATTGATTGATAAATATTTTTTTAATCTAAAATTATGACAATAGTATAATTTAAAAAAATTAAAATTAAATATAAAATTTAATAAATATTTATTATTTTATTTCATAATGGTCGAAAATGTTTGAATCGTAAGGTATACAATTTCTTACGTCATTTTAAAGTATCTAATTTTGCATGGCAAAATGTAAAATTTAAACGAAATCGGTTGAATAGTTCCTGAGAAATCGAACTCTAAATATACGACTTTTTTAAAATTTGGTTTCTCAGAAGCTATTCAAAAAATTTCGCTCAAATTTGGTATTTTGCCATGTGAAATTAGATACTTTAAAGTGATGTAAAATATTGTATATCTTGCAATTGAAATTTCTTTCGGTTATTATTAAATAAAATAATAAATATTTACTGAAATTTATTTTTTTGCGTGTGGATAAACGAATTTTATAATCGTGTGCAAAAATTATTCGATTCGCTTAAAATGTTCTTGAGGTATGGCGACACACGCAAAAACATTTAATATTAAGGGGTCCAAACTTTCGACGGCTCTCCTGACCAAACTACACTGGTTATCATAAATTAAGGAAAAATCACAAAAATAGCGATAACTCTTTCAAAAGTAAGCCAAACCGTGCAAAATTTGCNTTTTGGGTGTCAGAAATCCGATTCCGTCGAGAAAAAATAATTTATGTTTATTCAGAAAAAAAAAACACTTTTGTGTTGATTTCGTAACTTAATATATCATCTGTACTTATAGCTTATCATATTTGAGGCTACCCCCTCGAACCATTAAGAATAAGCATCACTTGAAGATTCGATTATTAGATAAATAGTTATTCAGGGTCGTTCGTTTTTTATTTTATGCACTGTGCACTTACACTTAAGTGTCGTAAACTAAGACTTTAGTATAAGGAAAAATTCTACCGAATTGAGTGAGAAATGTGGTTCTGAAAGTATCAAAACATGTTTGATTGTCGGAGGAAACAGAGATGTGTTTAAAAGTGATTATTAGAAACACCTCCTAGCTTCATTAGATAATCAAACTGGTTTTTATGTTTTTCAAACTACCGTCTCTACTCGTGGTTCGGCAGATGTCGATCGCGAGTTTTCCTTCTTCCTCGCTTAAATAATAATTTCAAACCAGTCTAAACACCGATTCTCGCCGTACCCTCATATAGAGAGAACCAGGGACCCTCTGCCTACACTTAAATGTCAGCGAAATCGATCATTATAGCGGAGCAGGTTTAATGGTCTGGACAGGCATCATGTTGGAGGCGAAAAGGCTCTGAGTTCATTTTAATGGACGAAAAAGCGAGGCCACAAAGAGCTCTTCTGGTCGACAAATTTCTAGAGAGTGAGGATATTCACCGGATGTATTGGCCAGCCAGATCACCAGACCTCAACTTTACAGAGCATGTCTGGGACGCTCTAGGGAGGGCAATTGCAACTCGCTACCCCCTCCGATAACCATCCAGGCGTTGCTGAACGAGTGGAACCAACTGACACAGGAAAAAATAAACTGCCTTATCACGCTCTAAAGCCTGTATATCTATCTGTAAGAGGGGACCATACTTCCTATTAACCTTTTTTTTTTGTTTATTCTGCAACAGCTGTTTCATACCTTCCGACTTCAACGAGTGTTACGCACGATCATGCGTGTGTATTACAATTGTTGAATGGTTATTTGTTTTGTATTGTATCAATGTATGTAATTATCAAATTTCATTAAAATAGGTCCAGTAGTTCTAGAGATTATCGACCAAGTCTGCAAATTCTCTTAAATTCTTACACCACTGTATATATACTAAGTAAATAGCTACCTAGATTCTAGGATTTTCCAGTAAAACTTTGAGAAATGTGATGGTTATTAAAAACAAACATTACTTATAAAGATTAGTAAAAAAATTTTCTAGCAAAAAAAGGAAGTAAAAAAACTTTCTATTGTTTTAACTATTTAATAATTTTATTCCTGTAACACAAACTCAATAAGAATTGACAGTTTATGAACTTAATTTAATAAACAGAAACACTTTTTCTTAAAAAAATTATATGCCCATATATACCATGAACTACTTCATTGCTCGAAACTTTTTACGTTTTTAAGATATTCAAATAAGAAATTTTTTATTACGAATACGATTCACTACACAATTACGGAAAAAAAATCGTGTATGCGCAGTACAAAAGAATTACTTTAAATGTATCTAGCGTGGTTTTAATCCAACTTTTTACAAATTTTAATACAAAATTTTAGTATTTAATTTTGAATTGCTCCAAAATTTTTTTTAGTTTTACTGAATATTTTTAAAGTTAGTGAGACAAAAAAATCGTTTTTTTTTTTATAAAAATGTCCATATTTCTATTTAAATTTAAACAAGCATTACGAAATTTTGCAATTAAAAGAATCAATGCAAGTTAAAAGCTTATTGCTTGATTTTCTGGCATAAGGTACTTAAAAACAATAGTTTTCATTTGTAATTTACTGTCGGTCTCTCAGACTTGTGAAAACTTTAAACCTTATTGCTAAATATGAAAAATCGAATAAACTAAACAACTATAAAGTTACAAAATAATCCTCTCAATATTTCTTGAGAAATTTTAAGCAATATCAAAAAGTGAAAGTGCTTCTACCATTATTGTAGGGTAGGGTACATACAGACTTTCGTTTTTATATATATCGAGAGAGAAGTCATGGGAAAATTGCGATAAATTCTGAAATTCGTAGGTTAAATGATACACTTCATGCGAAGTTAAATCTTTTTTTTTTTCTTTGGTAAGTGAAATTTATAATTTACATTATTGTAAATCTAATAGTATGTAGCCGCAACAACATATACAGCAGGTAACAAAAAAGAATAAATAAAGTTTATTGTGTATGTAGTATGTAGGGTACTTAACTGTTTTAGAGGGTGGTAAGAAACCAATTGACACAGTGCCTATATTATGTACCAATATTGGTATAACAGCTTCTTATTACCACAGTACTTATTAGGGGACAGAGCGTTCGCCTTCCAATGAGGGAAACCGGGTTCAAATTCATTCAATGACTGGTCGATACGAATTCCGGACCCGGCTCGCATTAATGACTCGCTGATGTAAAATATGCTCTGTGGTACACTGACTGAGCAAAACTCATGGGATACCCACCTAATATCCGGTCGGGCCCCCTCTGACCCTGCGGA